ACAAACACACACCCACACTTACACATACATACGGCAGATTCCCGTCAGTATGCGTTCTTGTATTTAGCTCTTGCTTCACTTAATAAACCCCTTCGCATTCCGTGAGGTGCAGCCGTTTTGCAATTCGAGCTCCAGATTTAACATAATATGCAGACATTTTAAAGAAATTAAGTGCATAGGAACTGAAGCCGATATCTATAATGGTCTGTTGTGCAAATTAAGGTCGTGAAATGCGGACTATAAAAGGACGATGACGATGCAAATAAATTTAGTGTGAGAAGTTTGTTCGTTCTGAAGGGCACGACCCAACCAGAATTATTAAAAGTGCCCGATGGGTCAAATGGGCGCAGAAGCTGTGAAAGTCAAGACTGCAACACCTAACTTGGATTTATTAGACGAAACCGAAGAGCTACACGCGTAAATTGAGCAAATCAGGTGACAGCAGGAAACCCTACATGAGCTTATGAAACTGCGGTAAATGATCCAGACAAGGAAATAGGACGACAGAAAGGAGAGACGCAGTCGCCAACGCCGACGATCGAAAATGAGAGAGCGAAGGGCTGGCGTTCCTGAACAATCATTTTCCATTTTCATTGTAGTAAGTGATTTTATAAAGCAGCAAATACCGGAATGTCGCCCACGGCCCATCATGGAACGATCGAAAATGATAAAGCAAAGGACAAGCCCTCTCGTGCAACTGTTTTCTTTGTAATAAATGATTTTTACCAAGTATCAGACAGTAGATATGGTCCAGGACGCGTGTATCTCGGCAATAAGGGACCTCAGAAATAACCTCTAACGACATGGAACTTTTAGCCTGTTTCGGCAGCAGGAGTCGGCGTGCACCGTGAAGAGGAGTGCTACTGTTCACGTGTTATACGCCTCCTCAACAGTTGGTCCAATATTTATAACTCCAACGTTTGTTTTGAGGTATAATCACATGTAGGGAAATTAAAATGCAAGTCCGATCTCCGAGGTAAAGGATGCCAAGAAATTTGCCATGTCCTATATTACGCGTAAGCATGCGTGAAAGCCGAATCCACGCTTCTGGTGCCACGCACGACTAGGTAACAACCCTGCAAAATCATAGCTTTTCAACCCGTCTGATTTACGAGTTAAAAAGACGTCAACAATGTATCCCGACTTAAACCTAAGCATACTCCAATGATGAATTCGAAATTTTTAGGGTTCACATACGCAAAGAACATTTTCGTAAAATCCAGTTTCCTATACTGACTGTTGATCACCTGAAGGCGGGTGACAAAATAAGCACGCAAGCACACACAAATAATTGTATACATACGCACGTATGTGCTGATAACCTTAGGTTAACACGCGTTTTTACATTCAGCTGACGCTTCAATCAATAAACTCCTAGAATTTTGAAACAAAATGCCCATCCCTTTGGCAAAATTTTTAAATTCTGCGTGACATACAGATATTTTATGGAAAATAGGCGCATGTGAACTGGGGCCTTTATACCCATAATGGTTCTCTTTGCGAAAATTCAAGCCGTGAAATGCGGAATATATAAAAACTGTGACGATGTGAAACAATCAGTCGGCAAGTTTGGTTCTGCGAGACAAAACTTCGCTGAGACTGTCCGAAGAAATATGTTCGGTCGAGTCAAAGGCTATGGAACACAAAAATCCACAGCAGTCGGTAATTAATCGTCCGTCTTATCTACTGGAGAAAATCGCGAAAATGCAAACCAACCGATAACGCGAGGTCTTGTGTGGGAACTCCAGATGGTCCACTCCTGGGAGCAGCAAGACAGTAACAACAAATGAAGCTGTCGCCGACGATCAAAAATAATTAATGAAAGACTAAGTTCGCTTTATAGCTTTTTTCTTTTTATGCGTTTTTGCATATGTGCAAATGCAAAAACGCATATTGTGACGACCCCGGTGTATGTGTATGTGTGTGTATGTGTGTGTGTTGTGTGTGTGTGTGTGCGCGCGTGTGTGTGCGTCTGTCCAGGTATTTCAGCTTGGCAACCAAGCAAGCTTCGGCGCTGAAATTTTGCCGGTGGGTTTCCCGGCCTAGTGCCACCCCACGACCGCAATACCAGCCCTCATGCACGTCTTGGCCCCGCATAAGAGCACGTGAAAGTTTTGGCGAGAAAATTGCTAACTCGGGAACTAGAAAAGCTAGAAAGCTTAGATTTTGAGCGGATGTTCCCTGCCCACATAGAACTCAAAGACTTTAAATTCAGCCCCAGGCTTGCGTGGTTTCCATGTACGACCCCATAAAAATCTTTGGCGGGAAAACCGCTAAGTTGAGAACCAGGAAAGCTGAAATTTTGAGGGAATGTTTCTCGTCCATGTAGAACTTAAGGATTCCAAATTAAGCGCCCAGCTATGCGTGGTTTTCACGAACGGGCCCGTCAAAGTTTTTGGAGGGAAAATCGCTAACTCGGGAGCAAGAAAAGCTGAAAAGCAGAAATTTTAAGGGAATTTCTTTGCCCAAGCACACGTAGTTGCACAACTAGCTCTCTGAACTTCGAGGATCCGTATGTCACAAATTCTAGCTACTGGGATTTCAAACGTTCGCAAGAAATACTGCACGACTGCACGGGCCCGCCTGGTGCGCCTCGCCAGTGACTTTGCAATAAACTATTTTATGCAATATCAAACAGCAGGCAGCTGAACAGGACCGTGAAGCGACGATATCTGCTTTCAGGATTAGCCAGCAGCGCCGTAGACCTCGTAGTTTGTTTTACTGCAGCGAGAGTTTCATGCGGGCGAAAACCTTTACGAAATGCTGATGCTTCCGCCCAAGGATGAATGCGCGGTTCACGCAAGGTCCGTCTCGGTGATGCTTCGACTTGCTCAGCATTACAACAGCATTAAATCCACGAATTATCCGGATCCGACATTTGTAATGCTAGCATGTATTCTGACATACGATCAAAGGCCAAAAATAGTTGGATATGCACATATATTTAGGTCGTTCACCTTTCTTTGCACAACAATCTTAAACCCCAAAAATTGGAGTTTTTTGCTTGCTTCGCTCGAAAATACAAAGGAGCTTGAATGAGCTTTATATTTGCGTTAACGTCTTTATGCAAACTAAGAAGCTGAATGAAGAACAAAGACGTTTACTTACAGGAGCGTTGATGACGTAGATACAGTACATGTGTGCCAAATATTTTTCTGGAAAGTTTGGACTTGTTATTTTGCCAGATTCTCCCTCAAATATCCCTCCGCAGCCTGAAAAATGGTAAGCAGCCATTCGAGGAACTGTCGATTTAATTATTACTGCCTCTCACATGTGTCTATCAATGATTTTCAGTTCAAGCTGCAAACAGCATCTTTACACATCAATTTATGGGGAAAGCAGGCGTAAATGCGCATTTGATTCGCAGTAAAACGTCGGAGCACTCGGAAGTAGTTCGGCAGCATACCTACTCGCTAGCGAGGTTAAAAGCAAAACCCGAAAGTAACTGTCACTTCGTGACAAGCACTGGTGCCAATACGTTATCAAAATAATAGAAGCCAACTAGTAAAACTGAAAATAACTCACCAACATCGAACTGTTCGTACAAAAAAAGGATGCCTTTATTGTCAATGCCACTTGAACTGAGTGTGATTTTCAAAGGTCTGGAAGCGCTGGTCACCTGCGACAACGATTATTTATTAATTCCTCAAGTGAAGTTTATCTTTGCGCAGAACAGAGTCTGAAAAACCTATGTACCATTTCGCCGTCGGGTGCCACGAACGGGTATCGAGCACAGACGTATCGTTTGTTGATCTGATCGTGTGAATCATGACCACCGCTGAACTGCAATCAGTCTTTTGAATTTTTCTGTAAATTTCAGTAAAATTTTGCGATAGTTCTTGATGGTTGCAGGAAAAGCTAACCTCAACATAATCCTCGAGCGTATCATGTTTTGCTACATCATAAAAGCACGTTCTGATGTCTGTATTCAGCCCAATAAAATTAAATTTTAGACGAATTGCTTTCGTTTTCTCAGCATTGATAATGTAGGTGCATTTGAACGGTTGAGCACTTCCGTTTGGATAGTTCGAGCTTTGGATTGTTCCGTTTGGTGAAGTATATTGCTTTTCACACACTATATTAAAATTAGGTTGCAGGAGCAAGTAGCTTTTTACTATTTGAAGTTTTCAAAGACAAGAAGATGCATTTCAGGTAACTCCTCGCATTTTTAACAACGAACATTATGTAATTTATTGAACTTTTCAGGCAAAATTTCGTAAAATGAAAGCTACTGAGCATTAGCAAGAGTTATTAAAATATGACTATTTAACAAAAAAGTTACTGGGTTTTTTGGAAGAGGAGAGTATTTGCTTCATTGCACTTCCAGTAAAAATCGTAGCAAACAAAATTCATCTTCAGTCTATTGCTAATACTAGTTAAGTTGAAAAAAACCGAGCGTTTAACATATTGTCATTTCATAAACTCAGGGAGAAGGGATATTCATCCTGCAACAAGGCATTTCATCCATTCCTTGAAAGTACAAAACATACCAGCAGAATAATGAATTTTGAAGCCTTTGCCGTTGACGGACTGATTAGAATGGAACTGGATAACCATCTTAGGTCCGGAGGATACTATTGGTCCATCAGGCCGTTTGCTGTTACAGTAGCGTCCCAAAACCGGATGCGACGCATCTCCCCCATCCTTGAACTGCAATTTACTTTGTTAATTCAACATACTCATTCGGTTTTGATGATTTTCGTTTCCATCCATCGTGGATTTAAAGTCTGCACGAAGTGGACCAGTCGTTTCACCTACATTCTCTAGATCTTCAGCCATCCTTCCTCCCGTGAGCTCATTTTTGTCACCATCAAAAGTCATTCCACTCTAGAATTCCCACGTTCGCTCGTTTTATGCGTTTTGTGCTGCAACAGTCGCACAAAACGTATAAAAAGAGCGAACGTGGAAATTTTATTGTCGAGACTCTGCCTGTGTGTGTTTTTGTGTATCTGTATGTGTTCCGAGTGCATTTTATTCAGGGGTTCCAAACCACGGAATCCATGAAAGTTGGGAAGCAGAAAGTTTCGAAGAGAATATCTCCTAGTTTCGAAGAGCATATCTCAATAACTGTATTGAGATATGCTCTTCGAAACTAGGAGGTGAAAACGTAGTTGTTTGAAGCTTTATTTACAGGCGTAATTATGAACTTGTTTCGTAATTTACGAACATCTTAAATAAAAAGGTTTTTGTTGTGCAGAGGGTTATCTGTACTGTTATTATATAAAGCTAATAAGAGATGCTTTAATGTATTAATAGTTTCTCTTTTATATTTCAACAGGTCTTGTATTGTAGTAGCTTTGTTCTGAGCAAATAAGTAATGCAGCGTGAGAAACCCATGAAAAAGTTATTGAGAACCTTGGAAGGAGATTGATTATGTTGAATTCGGAATTTACATCCATGTTTAAGTATGTTTTGAAGAAATTTGCTGGGAGTAATGTTAATGTCTGAACTAATAATATGTTCTGCAGGTTTATAAATAAATTGAGAGTTGATGCAGTTACATGGAAATTTGGTCAAAGTAAAATTATTGGAACATTCAGCATCTAAAATATTAATAAATGAAATACGATTAAATAAAGATTTACTGAATGGTTATCATACCTAAATACTACTCGTGCAGGTAACATATTTTATACGTCTCAAATTTCTCCAAGTTCGATTATTAATCGAACGATTGTAACTAATACTATCGTAAATTGGACTAGGGTATTGTAAGATACTATGAAATGCTTGATCTTTGTTACGATTATCTACAGAGCTGTCGAATTTATAATGAATATAAGAGTACAGCATAGCTCGTATAAAGTATGATCTGTTTAAACTATAATTTATTTTATTAAGAAGCGCAATAAATGTTTTTTTACTTTCAATATCTATTCGTGAGAGGAACCATTTAAAGCATAAATGATCATATCAAAAATTTGTAAAGCAGTCATTAACAAACGTGTAATTAAAAAATCTTGAGCTACGTCGTTTTCTTCCGTTTCTCCATAGTAAACGCGGTAATTCTGAAGAAAAATAAGGAGCATATTTAAAATTATTATTGTCTGCATACTGTATATTTCCGAAACCTTTAATTTTGTCATTTACACCTAGGGGATATAATGTTTGAAATGCTCTTATTCAAAAATGTTCTGCGTCAACGAAGTTTTTAACACTATTAACAGTTTGTGATATATGTATTTGCATATCTTTTGTAGAATGACCATTAGTATAAAAGTGTGAGTAAAGAAGATTTGTGTACTTTCTCTTTTCAGCATTATATTTGTGTTCTCGAAATCTTACTTAAAGTGTTCTTTTTGTTTGTCGAATATACTGCATACCATATTTTGTACAGGTAATGCAATAAGGTTTTGAATTTTACAATGAAATGTAGATCCAGGAGTAGATGTAATATATTATTATTGGTTGCGGCTACTCCTTTGAATACCAGAGACAAAGGAGTAGCCGCAACCAATATCGTCAAGTGAAGTGCTAAAATACATCTAGATCCACAAGGTGTCGTGACTAATCGTGGAAATACTGAGCAGTTTTGAATAGAGTATTTGAAATCAGCATTCACCTCCATTCGATACGAACGATAGCAATCAAAGCTGCCACCTGCAGCCTGTGACGTCAGGGAAGACGCAAGTGACAGCCCATTTTGTCTGACTTGATTTTTATGCGTTTTCGCATACATGCAAATTGCAAAAACGCATACTGGGAAGAAGCTGTGTGTGCGTCTGTGTGTTCGTACTTTTTGTTACCCACTTTCTACTCGAGAACCAGAAAAGCTAGAAGGCTGAAACTTTGGGAGTATGTGCCCATACCATGTGCGACGCTCCCTTTTTAATTTTATCCCCCGTGGACACCTGAGTGTCGCGTACGGACGCTTTAAAAAAATATGCAAGTTTTTAGCACGGAAGCGACCACGGGAACCACATGAGCTAAGGGACTGAAACTTTGTAGAGATATTCCCTGTGCATGTACTAGCTAAAAATTTCAAATTCAGCCTCCAGGTATGCGTGGTACTCATGTAAAGGCGTATGAAAGTTTTAGCGGGGAAATTGCTAACTCAGGTACCAGGAAAGCTAGAAAGCTGAAATTTTGGGGGAATGTTCGCTGTCCAACTACAACTCAGATATTTCAAATTCAGTCCCAAGCTATGCGCGATACTCGCGTAAGGGCATATGAAAGTTTTTGCGGGAAAATTACTAACTCGGAACCAAAAAAGCTAGAAAGCTGAAAATTTAGGGGAATGTTCCCTGTCCAAGTACAGCTTAAGTATTTCAAACTCAGCCTTGACGCGGCCCTTACGTACGGGCACTTAAAAGTCTTGGCGGAAAAATTTCTCACTGAACAGGTAGGTTACTTTTAAAGAAATACCGTTAAATGGAAATTTCATATTTACTTTATGCAAAGTTCATGGTGATTTATGCTAATGACTGCAAAAGGTAGGCGTAGAGCAACAACCATTCATGCAATTAATGGCCTGAGTACTTCAAGTCCGGTGCAAAAACGCATGATTGCACTAAGCCGCCTGGTGCGTTCCAGCCAGGGTTATTATTTAAAATAATAATGATATTATTATTAATGTGAGGGGTGGGGAGGGTATGCGACTTTTTGCTAGGTGCTCATAGGAAAGGAAAGGTATTTTAATGAAACTTAGACAAATGGCGAAAGCAGTAAGATGCAAATGAAGAAACGAATACAAGTTGATTGTTTTAAAAAAATTAAAGTTTAATCGTGGTCTATAGATTACTGTGAAACCAAAAAAAAAAAAAAAAATTTAACGTATTGAGTAGAAGGTGTCAGTAGATACTTATGTGCAGCCAAAAAAAATTGTTATTTTCGTAAAAATTGTTTACCAGGAAAATAATCCGTTAAAAAATGCGTCCATGATCCATGAAATCTAAGTCTTTATGCAATTCTAGAAAACAGTTAAAAAAACTTAATATGGAGCAGTTTAAATAAACTTACAAATATTCCACAATACAAATGGCAGTTTAAAATAAGGGTGGGAAAGAACTGAATCCTTTCCATACGTATTTGAAATACTGCATATTGAGAGTGCAGTATTTCAAATGCAAAGCTTAGGTCCTACATACACCCCCGTGAAAGTTTTTGCGGGAAAAATTATTATGTCGGGGGCAAGAAAAGCTAGGAGGCTGAAAACTTTAGGAGGATGTTTTCTGCTTATACAGCGGCCTAATAACTTAGCTCCCAAGTGTGACGGAGTCTCGCCGACCACGTGAAGATTTTGGTGCGAAAGTTACTCGGAAGCTGGAGAACTAGGAGAAATTTTGAAAGAATTTTTACCGCCTAAGGTTCCAAATTCGGCCGCCACGTACGCTTGCGTCTCACGTGAAAATTCTAATGGGAAATTTCGCAGCTTAGGAACCAAACAGCACAGCGACTTTTTTTTCACAGATCAAAGTGTAAGACAGTGAAAATTCGCAAGAGGCAAATGTCCGCTGATTGAAACTGCGCAAAACGCATGATCGCACGGTCTACCCTGGCGCGCGCTGCTATTTATTTAGTACAACGAAGATGTGATACATGCGTATCGGCATCCGCAATTAGCAGTTTTATATCGAAACCCAAAATCCTCAAATTTCACTGCTCCTAACAGAGAGTCACACTCTGAACTTGTCCGAGTGGTAACATGCTGCCAACAGAACTACTCGCTGGCAAAAATGTCGACGCCTCCATCACAGCATTAGTTAGAATTACGTTAAAAAACAATTTGGGGATTTTACACATAGTGCAAAATCTCCTGGTATCAATTTCCCAGTATCGATGTCCAGAATATAGTCTACGTTTACATTTCAAATAATTTAAAAAAAAAAAAA